ATACTGGTATAGTTTTGTTTTCTTTCCCAATTTACAAGATTAAATTACAAGATGTCAAAGAACATATTTAGTTAAAATGCGATAATTTACTGTTTATTTATGACAACATTAGTAAGTAAGATTGTAAAGAATTGAAAATGTTTAAGACGTCGAACAAATGTTAAGTTAAAATGATGATAGCAGCAGTTTTTAACCAACTGATGTATTAGTATATAAGGTCATATAAGCCATTTTTTTCTAGTCAKCTTCATAGTGAAYTACTGTTTGACTATTATGTAAAGTTTAAAAGTTAGAAACTTAGAATAAGACAAAAATAAATTTAAAAAGTACTATTTTTGTGTTGTTCAGTTTGTGACTAATGTCATTGTTTATTCAAGTTCATGAACAAGTACTATCAAGCCAAAGTGAACTCAGACGTGTGGTCTAACTRTTAGACATACAGTARTTTCTAATATGCAAAATTAAGCCACTGTTGTATATCAGTAGCCATCTGCATCTTATATTAATTTTCATATATTTCTTATTTCATTATTGGTAGTAGTATAGRCCTGTCAATTTAAKCCATWKTKTAATTACCGCTCACACCTGTTTTAACTCTGCTGCTTTTAATCATAGTAACTATATTTTAACATCCTAGTTCATCAGCTTATTTACAAAATGGTGTCTGTTAACCAGTACTAGAGGTCTGCTAACTTAAGCCATTTTTACCGTACGCAACAAAATCCTAAGCTGGTCTATTGAATGACATAATGAGAACGAAACGAGCAGAAAACARAGTAAAGACATGGAAATAGGGGGTTTGAACATTTTAMAAAAGATCTGAAAACGTTTCCCTTTGATGATCACAAAAGATCTGCCTTGAACAATTAGAAYTCCGACGCCTTTTCGACTTCCGACTCATCAATTAATACAGGGGTATTTTAAAACCTATATTTACGGATACTGGAAGGTTATACATGCATTTCCTGTAGCAATGATCGAGCATAAACAATAAAAAAAACGTTTGTTCAAAACAAAAACAAAAAAAAAGGTAAAAAG